AAATAATGTTAAATTTTTTGAAAAGTAGGTCAAACTTGAAGGTCAAGGTCATGGGTTAAAAAATCATGGTATGTTTAGAAAGTTCTTGTAGGTAATGTACATGTGAAATATGAAAGCACTATCTCTAATTATTCAGAAGTTATGACCAAGGTTAAATTTATTGTGACAGACGGACAGACTGACAAACGGACAGACTAACAGACAAATGAGATTTAATGTCCCCTAGGTCCCTTTTGTGAAAACAGATGACAATAATGCCCTTGCTGTTCATGAGAAGAAGATTTATGATGGAAAAAATCCCCTGCATTTTTCTATGTAAATCATTGGATCCCCATATGTGGCCCCACCCTACCCCAGTGGGTCATAATTTTAACAAATTTGAAGCTACACTAAGTCTATGTAAAGAAAGTTTCAACTTTTTGGGCCCAGTCAGTGGTTCTTGATATTAGACTTTTTTTTAAAATGATACCACCAAATTTTCACTAATTCTTGATTATCCCCCCTTGAAAGAGGGTGTGACCCTTCACTTGAACAAACTTGAATCCCCTTTCCCCGAAGATGCTTTGTGGCAGGGTTGGTTGAAATTGCCCAGCGGTTCTAGTGAAGAAGACAAAAATGTGAAAAGTTTACAGGCGGACAGATGGATGACAAACAAAATGTGATCAGAAAACCAGAAAAACTCAAGTGAGCTAAAAACTGATGATCACAAGTACTTGGAAAGAGTTACAGTATTTGAAAAGCAGTTTTGTTTTCAGAAGCTGAAAATGTATGACTTGTATCCATGTTGAAAAAATTTCACATTTCAGAAAACAGTATGATTAAAAAGAGTTAATCAAGGTGCTTTGAGTAGCAAAATAAGCTAAACTGGTATAGCTAATTGAACCACAGAGCTTAGTGAATTTTAAAATGCACAACCTTTTCAACTCTTAATCATTCTTAAAATATTTATATCATCATTTCTGATTCAAGGGAGAACTAGAGATATGATCAGAAGTATATCTGTTGACTAATAAACATGTACATGTATATTGTGTTTTTTAAGTCATTAATGTTTGTTTGTCGTTAAATGTCCCTCTTGGGAATTTTTCACTCATACGGAGACACCACCACTTAAAAATAATGAAGACGTACAAGTCGGATTTGAGGTTAAAATTCATTTTAGGAATTTTCAACAATTAAGACATAAAGAGATAACTCCTTCCCCTTGCCCCTTCCCCTTCCCAGACCCCTGTTTGTTCATGTATGCTAACTAGTCTAATACTTTGGTTTGACATAAAAAAAAATGTGAATATATACAAATAGTTTAATGGTCCATCTCTTTGAATGATTTTCATTCCTAATTCTAGGAGGGTACATGGGTTGACCCAAATTCATGAATGAAATGTCAAGTAATCTTATCATTGATGCACTTTTATTTAATTTGATGTAGTCATATTATGAACTTTTCCAGTTCATTAAGAGAGTGGGGATGACCTCCAGGGGTTCATAACCTTAAACCATTAGATGTACATAACATAATAACACAAGAAACAAAATTATGTATAGTCAAATGGAAAAGTTTTCTACTATTTAGGAGTCACATGATCATTTGTCATTTCAGGGACAGGGAGCGGCTAGGGAGATTGGACCCCCCCCCCCCCTGGAATTTGCAGAGTTATTTAAAAAGGACTATATACTGATTTACAGAAGCAAATAAAAAATGACTTTGGATGCCCCCCCCCCTTTAAAAACATGGACCCCACCATCATTGTTTTTATTTTGTTCGTTTGTTTGTTGTTTTTTTTTTTGCTCCTCAGGAAATTCTGGGCTGGAATTTTTTTGGACCGAGGTGTGGACCCCCCCCCCCCCCTCCCCGGAAAAAAAAATCCCGGATCTGTGCCTGTAACTGAATGTAATGTCGACAACGGGAGATAACTCTTCAGAATGTGAAATTCGTCTATTGTGGCATCCGATGATCCACTCTCTACCATCGGCTCATACATTCAGTGTCAGAGAGAAACGAACGACAACTCTGCATGGGAGATTGCCGATGATCTTTGATCCTTTTTAATCTTTAACCTAACCATTTGCATTTCGGTTTATTTTACCCCAATCTATACTTAAACTTGTACTTACCGACTGTCATAGGTCCTGTCAACTTCATGAAATATAATCCAATTAAAACACAAAATGAATTAATTTCCACTGATATACATGTAACACTGCACCATGTCACATGGCATGTGCAATCTAAAAATGATAATGGTAAAACTAGTACTAGTACTGGTAGGGTGACGCAAGCCCAATGTGATGTAGAAATTTTCAAAAAGGTGTTCACATACATGTACAGTACAGGAACAAATTTTAAATTATCATAACAAACGATGTTTTAACATAACTTTGCCATCTAGGCCTATTTCCAAAAGCAGGCAAATTGTGTGGGTGGGTGGGGGGGGGGGGGTGACAAAATTGATTGAGTATGGCTTTTCAAGGAGGTTTTTGCCTAATCAAATACTAAAAAAAGTTTGCACATTTTGATAAATTCATCAAAAACGCTTTGTACTAAAATAATATTATTTGTTGTTGAGAAAATAAATTTAAAAAGTTCCAATTATGGGCCAAAAATTTATATCCCCCCCCCCCTTTTATCAAAACCTAATTTACATCATTAATTAAATTCTGTTATTTCAGACTGGTAATGAATTAAGTATATGAAATGCGTATAAGAGGTTCATGGGTCAAATGGTCACCTGAGCATTTTATGCTCGATTTGACGAATACATGTACTGTGTAAATTATAGAATTATTTGGACTTTTTCCTTGGTAAGCCCAATATGAAGGAGTGTGCATTTAGAGGCAAACACCTTAGTGCGGGTATTACTGTCTCATGACAGCATCTAGTTTATATTTTTTTTTAATCCTGAAGATCATTAAAATTAATGCAATCTCTAAAAATCTTCTTCTTTTCTCCTTGACATCAAGCAGTCAAACTGTTGGCATGACTGTAATAAGCATTGAGTCCTCTACCAGTTCTGGTGCTAGGGCGGGGCTCTGTTGAATATTTAGTGAAAATGCATTGTTACTTTTAAAAAATCTTCTCCCCTGCTCCTGGGTATTAAGGAAAGAAATTAAATGTATAGTTATGATGAGAAAGGGTGATTCTTCAAAAATTGTGAATTTCATATACCCTGGGTGAGGGGTTCTGGTGTTTGGGCGGTGCTCCAATTATTATATCGTGAAAATGCATTAATTCTTTGAAAATCTTCTCCTCTGCTCCTGGGTATTAAGGAAACAAACTAAATGCATAGTTATGATGAGGAAGGATCTCTCTTCCAAAATTGTGAATTTCATGATCCCTGGGTCAGGGGTTCTGGTGTTAGGACAGAGCTCTAATGATTCTATAGTGAAAATGCATTAATTCTTTGAAAATCTTCTCCTCTGCTCCTTGGTATTTAGCCGATGAAGTAAGTATATAGTTATGTTAACAAAGGGTGCCTCTTTGAAAATTGTGAATTTCGGCGGGATAGCTCAATCGGTAGAGCACTCGCTCCGTGATCGGAGAGTCGTGTGTTCGAATCAGGGCCGCGACTGACCTCTGTAGCAATTGTTCTTTTTCTAAACGTTCGGCAACTTGAAGTGAAAGATTTTTTTTAAATACTGTTATTATTTAACTCGCGGTTTATAAAGCGTAAACTGCCCCAACCCAGGTTATACCAGTATAACTTGGGTAGCTATTAAAGTCATTCCTTAAATATTGCGGGAAAAAGTATATATCTGATACAAAATAGAAATATGTAGCATTTTAAAAAGGTTTCTTTGGTTTCACGTTCTTTTTCTGTGGTATCCCTTCGAAATCTGTAAAAGAGAAAAACGGTAAAATTGGGACTTTTATTCTTGGCACGGATTCTAATATGGTCACTGACGGGGGTACACTGGTATTTTGGTTCCCTAATCTGCTGTCCGTGTACTGTGTCTTAATGTGTCTCCTGTCTGACCGATATAATTTGCTGTCGGTGTACGGTCATTCTGTGTCTGAAGGTGTCTCCTGTCTGACCGATATAATTTTCACCGCAACCGGTGCAGGTTATTACATAAATAAGATTGGAACTAGTGCACGACATGTAGGTTTTAATATTAGATTTACTTCCGGTTTTGAAATGAAATGTATAGATCCTTCTGTCAGGTATGAACATGTACTGCATCTGGATCTGCTGCATTTATTGATGATGGGTGGTTCAAGGTTGTCACTGGAAAAAGATGGGAAAGGATAGATTTAAGAGAAGGGCTTTGTCGCAACTTTTTTATTTTAAATTATGTAACACAGTCAGGACTACAATTAATTCCATGTTATGACAAAAGGTGGGTCAGTCTAACTACACAAAGGTACCCTGAAATTAGGGTGCAGTGTAGAGAGGGTCCTTAAATACATTTATATTTTTAGGAATAAAAAACACGCATCTGTAAATTTTGGCAAAGAGCTAGGAAAGTTGTTAGTATTCTGAAATCAAATAGCATATCTATACCCGATTACCTTAGAAGTGTAAAAATTTCGGAAAGTGTAACCAGAAGCCAAAAGAGTTTTTTTTTTTTTTAAAAAAAACTTAGTTTTTAAGAAAATCTAGAATAGATATGACGATGGGGGACTCAGTGTTGCTTGTGCAATGCTCTCAGAATGATTGAAAGTAACTTGCGACTAACAATTACCAAGGAAAAGACATGTTTTGTTTAGAGAAATAAAACGACTTTTTATCATAAATGATATGTTGTATCACGGAGTTGATGTCCTCAGCCTCTATTGAATTTCACAGTTTAAGGACTTTGGCGTCTAAAGTATGACTCGAATTCAAGAATATGTTAAATAATAATGCAATAGTAAATGCAAACCTGTATTTTATCACGTGTGTTTTTGGATCATATAAAAACTAAGAATATGACTTCTGATAAGTAACCGAGAATCGTTTGATTATTTACCTCAGTTCTGAGTTCAACTTGTTTTTAAATCTTTCTTTTCTTTTCTGTAAAAGGAACAACAAAAAGAAATGAAGAATACATGGGGAATAGTTATAGCTGTTGCAGCGTTTCTCATTCAGTTTATAATATTTGGCATCTGCCTCTCCTTCGGTATCTATGTTATAGAACTACAAAACGAGTTTGAAACAGGGCTATCCATAATTTCATCTATTGGATCCATCCACTTTGGCTTTCTACTTTGTACAGGTATGTTTTATGTCGGAACTTTGCACGGTATGTTTTATATCGCGGTTATTCTGTTTTCAAAAACTCTACGACCATATGGATATCATAATCTCTCTAAATTAAATCCTTCATACTGTTTCATCTTTCATACAAATGCATAACAAGTTGTCCTTTTTGCAGTTGCGAACTGAAGCGTATACATGTATAAACCATACAGAGAATTTGTCCAAAAATCAAAATGGCAAGAATTTAAATTAGTTCTTGTTTGTCTCCAGTTGCCTACCTCTTCTGAAGTCCATTTTGCATTACATTTCACAGTATAAATAAAATTCGCTTGGTATTGCATGTTTCTTTCAGAATATGCCTATTACAATAAATACAAATAACAATTTTATGAGGTGGTTTATAGTGAAGGGAATGTTTTGGTAGAATTAAAGGACAAAAAAGGATATAAAAAAACAAAATTGAATGTATTTATGCTTTTTGAAATACGTTTTTGTTGGCCCCTTAATTTTCTGAGCAATACTAGTATCTTAAATTCATATTTAGCAATTTTGACATGCATGTCTTTTTCGAATATCAAAATATTATTCTTTGTGTTGTTGTCTACTTCAGTTACTATGATTACTTAAAAACTTTAGTGGTCAGTTATTATTTTTTATGATAAGGATTTTTGAATGCAATTTTGCCCCAAATTCTTTATTTAAACTAACTTCTGCTACGTTTAATTAACTATTTTTGTCATTTTTACATATAGATAATCTTGGCGTACCAACCACCATCATTTTCCATTACATGATTATATTCCAGGACCATTTGCCAGTTTTCTAATGCGGAAGATATCTTACAGAAAGGTTTGTTTGCTGGGAGCCATAATGAGCAGTGCTGGTCTATCTCTTTTACCATTTACTCCAAATATTCCCTATTTAATTGTGTTCTTTGGAGCATTAACGGGTAATTACACGTCTTAATTTATCAAGTATTTCAATTTTCTTAAGATACTGAAATATTTATTGAAATGAACATCTTTATATATTTGTTTTACTGGATTTTTTAATATAAATTCTATGTGTTTACATCTAGGTACTGGCTATAGTTTTCTCTACATTTCGTCTTATACCCTTTCTGGACTCTGGTTTAAAAACAATCGAGGTCTAGTTACAGGTATCGTCAGTTCCGGTTCCTCACTTGGTGGCGTTGCGTTTCCATATCTGATTGAATTTTTGATTGGGAAGTTTGGATGGAGAGGTTCCTTTTTTATACTTGCATCGCTGAATTTACAAACGGTCGTTTTCTCCTGTCTAATCAGAGAATCACCCATGCAAAAGGCGTGGGTAAAATCAAGAACTAAGAATATCAACAATAACCTCACCAACAGTACACAGACAATCGATGAAGTTAGAAAGAAATTTATAAACAATGGAACAAAATTTGAAAATTGTGTTCCAATACAAACAGTTACAGACCAAACAAGAATCGACAAACAAATTAAATATACTGTAAAAAAGTCAAGCACGATGAAACTACTTACTAATTTACCATTTGTTCTATTTACGATAAATAATGTTTTGTGGAAATTTGGTGGCTCTGTACAGTTGCTTCTTGGGCCAGACTATTACACTAAAGTTGGCTTTGACTTAAGACAAGCAGCTTCGCTCTTATCCATACAGCAAGGTACAATGGTGGTCGGTTGTGTTGTCGGTGGAATTCTTGGTAATCTCCGCAACAGAAACAGTTTATTTATATTCTCAAACCTTTCATCGGGTTTCTGCATACTTGCCTACACATTTCCAGTTCTACAAACGATGGCGGGTCTTGCTATAATCAACTCTCTCTTTGGATTGAGTTCGGGGATAGGTCTTGGATTGATCGTCATTCTTGTATCGGATATTGTCGGAAGTCAACTGATTGGGGACGGAATGGGATATCTGATGTTAGCGTCTGGAATAGGAACGTTCATTGGGCCACCATTAGGAGGTTAGAGCTTATATATATATATATATATATATATATATATATATATATATATATATATATATATATATATATATATATATATATATATATATATAATTATTCATCCATGCTTAATCTATTAAGTAATAAATCGAAGTACAATGAATTGATACGGATTTTTAGCTGCATTTTTGTCCCCTACTTTCATTGAAAATGGGGATAATATTTCGGTCTGCTCAGTCCGTCTATCTTTCATTTTGTCTATTCGTAATGCTTTCGTTTCCGGACGATATTTTAAAAAGCCTTTGAACTTTTGCAATGAAATTTTATAACGCAACTCCCAATGACCAGGTAAAGACTCCTATTGATTTTGAGATCAAAAGAGAACTCATATATTGGATCCTGAAAGAAACATCCGACACCTTGTGAATTCTATTTAATAAGAATGATATATTCTATGAAATGAAATGCAAAATAAACTTGGAAGTAATACTGATTTTTAGCTGCTTTTCTTTTGGAGGTGGGGGGGGGGGGCTTGCTTGCTTTACTAAAACTATGCTGATACTTTAAAAGAAAGGGCTATTATTACTAGCTGTGTGAGAGCGTCGCCCGACTTTTCTTCATTGTTCGGGCTGAATTGCGTAAAAATTATTGATTTTGAGGTCAAAAGGGAATTCATATATTGCATAAATAGTTTTAGACGATAACTTCAGTTCTTTGTAAGGTTTTGCAGTAAAACTAAAGGTCACGAATTTAACTTAAAAAGACCCCTATTGACTTAAGTCCATAAGCTGAAAGGTCAAACGGACCTTTTTTCTTTCTGTATCTGCATTTCTTTCAGGTCTTCCATCCTTTTTTTCCCTTAAAGACTAATGACCCTCTGCTCTAAATTTCACAATTTTTTTTAAACTTCTCAAAATTGATTTTCATCAAGAGCTATAGTATCAATTTCAAATGGAAAATAGTATGAGGTATGAAGTGCTGCTTATTTTTCCAGAAATGATTTTCATGTCAGATCATGATATGAAGAAATTTTAACACAGAGAATAGAAAGAGTAACGATTTATTATCGCAACATAAAATTAATAATGTGAGGTGTAGATGAAAATAACATTTAGTATCATACCTATAATGTGAGGTGTAGATGAAAATAACATTTAGTATCATACCTATCAAAATCATATTAGAAAACATAATAAAGCGCTGCTTCCTACTTCTCAATATCACAATGCTGTATATGGTTGTAAGAAAAAAATACATCTGTAAGCAAGAGTTTTTATTTATTTTTTTTTTTTCATTGGAAAAAAATGTAATACTAATAAAAATTCTATATTTGGTACTTGAACCTTAAACCATTTTTAAAATGGTCCTTAAAAAGATAGAACTTATTCGATTTATAAGGCTTTTAAAACTGGATTTAAATATTTTTGTCAAATATAATAAAACAATTTGAAAAGTAAATGCAAAGGAAATAGAAGGTAACGTTTCAATCATATGTCAGATTTGATCAAATTGACTACTCAAAGGTCTCGATAGTGAAATGAAAAATATGGAGATAACGAACAGTATTCAAGCTCAAAAGTCCATTAAACATTACAAAATAGGAGCAGAGTAAACACGGTCCTCTAAAACATAGAGGTGGGATTAGGTGCCATGGAGGAGTGAGCATCCGCAGCCGACCGGTCACACCCGCCGTGTGTTCCTTGTCATGATCGGGAAATAACGGAAAAATCCGTCGACAATTCAGTGTGTAAGTAATATATATAATGATATTCTTATTTCATCAACTTGTTTGTCAATAATTTACCTCGTCTTAGAAATTGTACATACGTAGAGCATGTTCTTGCGTATCTAATCAACTGAGAGATATAAACCCCGTATGCAGGTGATGAAGGTATATTGCTGCATAAGTAAGGGAAGTTGACGATTGAAAAGTTAAAGCCATCACGTTTATCATAAAGTTTGGTTGTTAGATTACCATTAATGTCTTTTTCAAGTAAAATATCCAAATATAAAACAGATGAGTCAGTCTGTGGTATCTTTTATCTCAAGCTCACCAGGATATATCGTATCGACGTAAGAATGGAAATAACCATTGTTAATTGACAATAAGTCGTCGATATATTAAATGTCGAGTTGAAGGACAGAAAGTGTTCTCTTCTTTTCACGTATAAGATTCTGGACAAATTCTGCTTCATATGAATACAAAAAAAGTCTGCTAATAACGGGGCACAATTGGTACCCATTGGAATTCCAGCAGATTGTTGGAAGACCTGGTCTCCAAAAACCACATAGATATTGTCAATCTGAAACTGATTTTTAAAAAAAACTATGAGTAGTATTCGAATTTTGTACTTGGAAAGTTATCTCTCTTAGAGGGTCGGTCCCCCTTAAGATTGAGTTCACACAAATTCCCTGAATTAGCTTGTGTTGAAAAAATTATTTATCTACTTAATTTGTCAACGTTCATAAGTGAAGGAGAAAAATACTAGTATTCAATGATTTTGTAAAAAATTATTTAGTCAATTCATTATATTCCCATATTATATCACATCGTCAGAAATATGCAAAATTAGAGATAATTTATGATTTCAAACATCAGAATATGAAGCACTAGATATTTTCCAGGTGTGTATTTTTAATTTTAATGGAGAAAAAATGGTCAAACATTGATTTGTGGTTGTTGTATGGTGATATTCCAAGGAGAATGTGTACTCATACAGAAACGTTACCATCTACTTAGTATACGGGATCCAGATGTGCAGACTGAGACTTGCTAATTAATACGGTTAGGGTTTTGAATATCACAGTGAGCTGCCTTTTATAGATATCCAAAAGACATCGACTCTCTGGATGTCTTGACCCATTTGCGGTTTACTGGCACTAAAATTTAATGAAATAAAGCATAAACAAACAATGTTTACTTAGAATATGCAGTTTGACGCATTTTCACTAACCAATATCATACAAATAATCGACTATTAACTAAATATTTATAAAACAACATTTTTCTTTTCAAAATGAAAGATGGTCTGTGTAACTTAGTCGAAAAAAATTCAAGTGATAATGATGTCACATCTTTTTGTTACCAATTTTCTTTTACTTTCAATGAATTGTTCATAATAATTTCAAATGCATATGTTTAATTTCATAAGGTTACCTGATAGAAAAGACAGGATCCTATGAAGTCGCCTTTTACTTCGGTGGAACTGCTACCTTGTTCAGCGGAGTAATATTGTTAATCACTCCAATCAGAGGTTGTTTTCAGAAGTCGAAGAAATACATCATATCATCTGTTACCTGAAATTTTTTTTTAAAATGTTCGAAATAGCTGTAAATGTTTTCATGTGTTGCAAAAAAAAAAAAAGAAACAAACAAAACCATGCAATGACTTTATCGATCGGTTATAAAAAAAAATGTAGAGAGAGAAAGAGACTGAAACACTGACCATGCATGATTTAACGTTCATTTAGGAAGCTGCACTTCATCTTTTGCTCAACACAAAAAAGTTTTATATGTGCAGAATTTATTAAATTGTACAGTTTTATATTTTTAATCCTGAAGATCATTCAGGGGGTTTTGTATAAATTTTAAATAAATTTTAAATGTAGATCACTTCTATGAAAGACCAGGAAAAAAACACCTTGGACCCCTTCACACTCCAATCCCAAAAAAGATACTAGTCATCATATTTAAGAAGGCTCAATACAAATTTTAAAATATATACACATATAATTAAGAATCTATTTTTTTCTACATTCACTATAGAGTATAAGATATTATAGAGAGTAACTAATATAAATGATATAAGACGATATGGCTGAAATACTGCCCACTCGGCTAAAACAACAGATAATCAATTAATCTATCATAGCATTACCATAAAAAATTTCCTCCGAATATAACTTTTTTGTCAATATTGTTTTTGCCAGTTCATAAAATATCTTGATAACGCCTTATGCCTTGACTTGATTGACGTTACATTGATAATGTACAAGAGTGAGTTCAAAAACTGACCAGAGACATAAATATCAACCTGAACTAAAATTTCAGGCTATGTGAATAAATTTCTATAACCAGCATGTGTCTTTTGATACTGGCTAAATCCCTGCCAAATATCTCATTGATATCTTAAGAAACGGAAAAGTTATGCTCAAAAATGATGCTAAAAATGTCCGAAGTGCAACATCTTTTTGTGACATTTTGAAAATTCCACATTTTTGAAGATCTGTTAAATAAATAATAATGGTTTGTGTTGGAAATAAAGATTTTCCTGATTAAATTCAATATATTGAGCTATACATTTAGACTGTGGTAACTTTTGCGTGACCAAGTTAGGGTTACGGCTGATACTGAAAAAAAGGTTACACCATGTCAGGTCAAATGCAGCACATAAAATGTAATGATGCCCAAAAATATTCAACTTAAAAATATGTATGACAATTAAGTCAAAAAAAGGAAATTTGAAAGTGCAAAACAACAAGGATTCTTAGAGTATTGCATTAGCAATACTACTCCCCTACCGGCAAGTGTAATCTGGTGTCCATTAAAAATTGAAAATGCCCTAATTCCGTCAAAAATCATTGAAGCGGAGCAAAATGCAAACTTGATCTTTAACTTATCAAAGTTAAGTTACTTACCAAAAATCAGCTCAACATCTGCACGCCTTTAGAAAAATATTGCAGAAAACTCTTAAAAATTAAAAAGGCTGTAATTCCCTCAAAGATCAATGAAGCGGAACGAAATGCAAACCTATCAAATGCAAATCTCATCAAGATACACTCACATACCAAACATTAGCTCAATATCTGCAAGCGTTTAGAAAAAATGCAAAAAACGAAGTGAGACAGACTGACAGACAGGCAGACAGACAGACGGGCAGACGCGTAGAAAATCTATAGTCCCCTTCGGTTTCACCGGTAGGAGACTAATAACCAATATACCATTTAAAGGCTTAAAATGTTATATGAATCACAAGCAGCATAAATGAGAGTCAAATATCTGTTGTTAACCATTTATGTCAGGATTGCAACATTTGATGTTTTGCTCTCCAACTTGGAAAAACTTTAATCAGTATATAATGTTTTGCTTTCTTTTTTGTAAAATAAAGAAGAACATTTTTTTTTTTAAATAAATCTATCATTTACAGGATCTGTCTGTGTTTCAGATCCATACTTAACTGTCAGGAGTGCAACAAATCGTTATTAAGATTCAAGTGCAATGATGAACAGACCCCTACTCATACTATTAAGCATCTATTTGAATAATTTAGTATTGAATTAATTAAAGTTTTATAATAGATTTATGTCCCCTTTTCAATTTCAGCAATGAAGAAGTGTTTTTATCTTTTTCTTATTTTATTTTATTTTATTTTATTTTATTTTATTTTTTTTGTAAATTAAAAAAAAAAACACTGAAAAAAATTGTAATAAAATTCAGATAATTGCACCATGGCTTTACTGAAACAATGGAACCATCTCTGATGTAATTTATGCTTCACATTTCTTCTTTAAGGTCTCACATGCCCTTGATCAAGAGTGCAACAAAAATGTTTGAATTACCAGTGATCCCTTTTGAATAATTGGACAAAAAATGATGAGTAGAATGTTTCTGGTTGATCTCAATTGTTAACAGTGTTTGTCCCATGAAGTTTTTTGTTTGTTTGTTTGTTTATTGTTTAACGTCCCTCTCGAGAATTTTTCAATCATATGGAGACGCCACCACTTGCCGGTAGAGAGCTACAAATTTTGACCTATACTCGGCACTCAGGGCCATTTTTTTGTGCCAGCACCTACTGCAACACGGGACCTCGGTTTAAACGATCTCATCCGAAGGACCGGTCCCCATGCCACGTCCCACAGTGGGATTCGAACCCGCGACGTAAGGATCAACTCCTTACTCCGCGACTCTAGAGCGAACGCTCTAACCACTGCGCCAAGCGGGAGACTGTCCCATGAAGTAAAATGTCCCATAAAATATGCCTTTATCTTCCTGATATATTTTAAGCTAATTTTACGACATTATTAGGGAATAATTTGTGATATAAAGCAAAGTTTTAACAATTTTATGCTTTTTGACCATGAGGTATTGGACTATAAATATTGCACGGTTTCATCACAACTTGATATTTTATTTTATTTCATTTATTAATTATTAATTTTTTTTATTTCTGTGGTTTTAATTTTAAATCTTATTGCAGTCAGGAGTGCAACAAAATTGTTTTATAATTATCAATGAACTTTATCTCTCTTTCTCACTGCTCATTGGCCCTGAGTGCATGCCGAGTAAAGGTCTAAATTTGAAGCCCTTCACCAGTATGGTGACGTCTCTATATGAGTTAAAAATTTTCGAACGAGACGTTAAACAACAAACAATCGATCAATCATCTCTCTTTCCTACAAAATAAATAATAGAAAATGCTTGATACATTTGTAGCTGAAATCATTAGACATTTTTGGACATTTTTAGTCAATTCACAGAGTAATTTTCATTGTTAAATTTTTTAAACAATGTTTGTTTATAAAAAGCTTACCAGATGTCAGGAGTGCAACAAAAAAGGTAAAATACGATCACTCTAAAATTTAGTATTTTTTGATAAGAAAACCTACAATAGCAAACTGTTTTTGGCTTAGATTTGAAGAATTGACAAAATTGATAAAAAAGTAATTTTTGGATAGTTTATTGCATCATAGTTCTTTCGTATCAAAACTTTCAAACCAGAATTGAGACAATTAATGTTAAATAGTAAATATAAAGCTAATTTTTTCACATATACAAGAAGAGATACCCAATAAAGGTTGAGATCTAATCATTTATATCGGTGAAACAAGTCTGAAAGATAAAAAAAAAAACCCAGAATTTCTTTGATTATGTATTTCAGAAAGTCACTTAGAATGTAGTCATATTTTCTTTTTTTAAACGGAAGTTCTACGAATAAAAATTCTGAAACTTTTTTTAAGCATTTCTCAATTTTACTGTAACGTCGGAAATTTTAACTATAATGTATATACAATATGATAATTGAAAAATATGTTATGGCAAGTTGAATTTTAAAAAAAAAATCAGTTTGCTTGTCATTTTTTTTTTATTTCACTCACAATGTATCAAAGAGGACCAAACATTTTATTGAAGCATTCTACCTGTGACTCCATCATTTTACCATTTGAGAGTGGATGTGTGGATCCCATGGCAATAATAAGCAGTTCCATATCTAACATAATGAAAATTTTGTTATCAGATTAATTTTGGAAAAATTCAAAACTTTTCTCAATCAGCATTCTTAACAGTATATATTTTATAAGCAAATTAACATTGGTTATTGCTTTTCTTCGTACATATTTTAAAGATGGTCTCCTTGGATTCAGCTGAGATACATGTATATTGCTTAGTAAACGGTAATTATGTTAGATTAATTTTGTGTTATTTTTGTGTTATTGTGTCTACTTTAAAAACAGAATATATTTTCTTAAATAAAGATACAACAATGAACACATACTGGACAGTTTTTAAGAATATTACTTTATGATTATGTGAAAACTGTTTACTTGAAATGGATTGATATTAGTCGCCCGCGTGGCGCAGTGGCTAGAGCGTTCGCTCTAGACTCACAGAGTAAGGAGTTGATCCTTACGTCGCGGGTTCGAATCCCACTGTGGGACGTGGAGATCGGTCCTTCAGATGAAACCGTATAAACCGAGGTCCCGTGTCGCAGTAGGTGCTGGCACAAAAAAGATCTCTCACTGCTCAATGGCCCTGAGTGCCGAGTATAGGTCAAAATTTGTAGCTGTCCACCGGCAAGTACCGGTAGTGGTGTCTCCATATGAGTGAAAAATTCTCAAAAGGGACGTTAAACAATTAACAAACAAAACAAATATAAGTTATTATGTCCTTTGATTTTGTAGAAAATAATTTTGAAAATAAAAAAAAGATTTTATGTAAAAAAAAGAAACATTATTTATTTTCTCTACTAAAACGAAATTACACTTCTAAGTTTTGTCTATGAAATTTTTTTTTTTTAAATAGTTATTTGAAATTGATTACTTGCACTTTCATCTTTTAAAGATTTCAATTTTTCAATTCATCTCATATCAATAATGTGGTATTTTTCTTCTCCGGAGCTAGCATGTTCTTGGATGTTGCTGTTTTTGTTTGTTTTTCTTTTTTAGCTCACCTGAGCCGAAGGCTCAAGTGAGCTTTTCTGATCAAAATTTGTCCGTTGTCTGTCGTCATTGTCGTCGTCGTCGTCGTTGTTGTCGTTGTCGTAAACTTTTCACAATTTCATCTTCTTCTCCAGAACTACTGGACCAATTTCAACCAAACTTGGCACAGCGTATCCTTGGGTAAAGGGGATTCAAATTTGTTCAAATGAAGGGCCACGCTTTCTTCCAAGGGGAGATAATTACAAATTAGTGAAAAATTAATGGCATGTTTTAAAAATCTTCTTCTCAACAACCACTGGGCCAGGAAAGATGAAACTCATGTGGAATCACCCTCAGATAATGTAGATTTAGGTTTGTTCAATCATGACCCCCGGGGGAGGGTGGGGTCCCAATGGACGATCAAAGTTTTACTTAGGAGTTCATAGGAAAAAATTTTAAAAATCTTTTTCTCAAGAATAGCAAAGCCATGATTGGTCATATTTATATGGAAGCATCGTTAAGTGGTGTAGATTCAAATTTGTTCAATTCATGACCCCTGGGTGTAGGGTGGGACCACAATGGAGGATCAAAGTTTTACATAGGAATATATCTTCTTCTAAAGAACCACTGGGCCACGAAAGATGATATTCATGTGGAATCATCCTCATATAGTGTAAATTCTAAATTATTCAAATCATGACCCCCAGGGGTAGGGTTAGGCCACAATGGAGGATCAAAATTTTACATAGGAGTATATAGGAAAAAAATTAGAAATCTTCTTCTCATGAACCACTGGGCCAGGAAAGATGAAACTCATGTAGAATTATCCTCAGGTAGTGTCGATTAAAGTTTGTTCAAATCATGACCCCCGGGGGTAGGGTGGGGCTACAATGGACGATCAAAGTTTTACATAGAAATATATAGGAAAAATCTTTAAAAATC